GCTCCGACATACAACATCGGATAGGTCTTACATCCTTGGTGGATTCTCCTGACCTCATCCACACAGGTTAACATCGTCGAGCAGGGCTCCGACATACAACCTCGGATAGGTCTTACATCCTTGGTGGATTCTCCCGACCTCTTCCACACAGGTTAACATCGTCAAGAAGGGCTCCGACATACAACCTCGGATAGGTTTCACATCCTTGGTGGATTCTCCCGACCTCTTCCACACAGGTTAACGTCGTCGAGCAAAGGCTCCGACATTCAACCTCGGAAAGGTCTCACATCCTTGGTGGATTCTCTCAACCTCTTCCACACAGATTAACGTCATCGAGCAAAGGCTCCGACATACAACCTCGGATAGGTCTCACATCCTTGATGGATTATCCCGACCTCTTCCACACAGGTTAACGTCGTCGAGTAAATGCTCCGACGCACAACCTCGGATAGGTCTCACATCCTTGGTGGATTCTCTTGACCCCTTTTACAAAGGTCAACATCACCGAACAATATTCTGAGTGAACAATGTTCTCTCTATAAAGACTCCAAGAATGCAAGTGATTGATAAATTTATCACTTATACAAAGAATTTAGTCAGTCAAAAATTTTGGAACAAATTTTTTTGGACTCCTACTCGTCGTCGGACTTCTGTTCGTCGACGAACTTTCGTCGGTCTTCTACCAGACGTCGGACTTCTCCCTGTCGTCGGACTTCTGTTCGTCAGCGGATTCCTACTCGTCGTCGGACTTCTGCTCGTCGACGGACTTTCATTGGTCTTCTACCCGACGTCGGACTTCTACTCGTCGTCGGACTTCTGCTCATCGACGAACTTTCGTCGGTCTCTTGCTCAACGTCGTACTTCTACACAACGTTGGACTTATATCGTACTCGTCGTCGGAATTCTGACCGTCGATGGAATTTCATTGGTCTTCTGCCTGACGCCGTACTTCTACTCGTCGTCGAAATTCTGACCGTCGTCGGAATTTCGTCGGTCTTCTGCCCAAGGCCGTACTTCTACCCGACTTCGGACTTCTCCTTGTCGTCGGAATTTTGCTCGTCAGCAGACTTCTACTCGTCGTCGGACTTCTGCTCGTCGACGAACTTTCATCGGTCTTCTGCCCAAGGCCGTACTTCTACCCGACGACAGACTTCTCCTTGTCGTCGGACTTCTGCTCGTCAGTGGACTACTACTCGTCATCGGCTTATCGCTCGACTGCTACTTACAACGCACCCTCGAACTCTCTCCTTTTTCTCCACACTCGATCGTTGACTGCTAATGGGCTTCAACTCGATCGTCCATCGCCAGCAAACTTCCGCTTAAATGGCAAAGAAATCCCATAAGCTTTTGCACGCGAGGAGGGACGCTAATTCGAGCAGGGAAAAATTCCCACTCGTAAATAATGGAAGCCTCAACCGTTAGAAAGCAGGAGGGCGGGGAAGAAATCTCGTAAGCTTCTGCACGCGAGGAGGGGAGCTAATTCGAGCAGGGAAAAATTCCCACTCGATAACGGAAGCCTCAACCGTCAGAAAGCCGGAGGGAGGGGAATAAATCCCGTAAGCTTCTGCACGCGAGGAGGGACGCTAATTTGAGCAGGAAAAAAATCCCACTCGCAAATAGCGGAAGCCTCAACCGTCAGAAAGCCGTGGGAGAAGGAAGAGAAATCCTATAACTCCTGCACGTGAGGAGGGTCGCTAATTCGAGCAGGAAAAATTTCCCGCTCGCAAATAGCGGAAGCCTCAACCATCAGAAAGTCGTGGGGGAAGGAAGAGAAATCCCGTAACTGATTCCCTATTCGCCCATGATCTCACGCCTATTTACGGGCTATGCCACTCTAGAAAAACTATAAATAGAGCCCTCATTCTACACAAATGGGACTCAAAGTGAAGAGAGAGAAGAAGAAGAGAAGAAGGAGGAGAAGGAAGAAGCTCCTCCTCGACCACCGTCGGAGCTCTTCCTGCCGTCTGAAGATGCCGGAACTCTGTCGGATTTTCAGGAAAAGCCGGAAATTTGCAGAACTTTGTAACTTTGTGAGAAGTTGATTGTAAACTGATCGTCTTAATTTGTAAGATGAATCAACCTTTGTACTTCATACAAACACTAGTGGAACTTTACAACTGGGCGAGGCCCCGTGGTTTTTACCCTTTTTGGGTTTTCCACGTAAAAACTCTAGTGTTCATTTCTCTTTTCTGTTTGTGTGCGGAATACTCGTGCAACGCTAAGACGAATATTTTCTAACTCTACTGCCACGTATATTCTAGCACACAATATCAAACAAATGTTTACACGGTTCTTCTTAAATCTCACCATCAATCAGAAGCAATCCAAAAGGACAGCTAGCTGCTTTAGGAAAACCATCATTTTCCCCAAAAACCTCCCGGTAAGAAGAATCTATAATGTGCCCGACGTGATATTAGCCCTAATCCCCAAATTCACACATCAACAAACCATTAGATCGGTTTCAAACAGCAAAAAGCCAATTTTTTCTATTAAAAAATATCACAAAGCTAAAACACAAAACATCCTAAAAGCTTAAAACAAAGGTGAATGAGCAAATCTGTTTTGATTCATGAATACCGAAGCAGAGGAGTATTAAGCCTTAACAAGAGAGGAAATGCAATTTTAAAACTCAAACTAACATAAACGCAAATGACCCTATGAACAGCCGAACAAATCTATGAGGAAGGCAGTCGCTTGGATCAAAAGCAGAACTATTCATGAAACGGAAAAAGGAAGACGAATGAGATTACCTTTGTGCCGACTGCCGAACGAATCTATCTTTGTAAGCGAAATGGAAGGAAGAGTCGAAGACACTAAGCTTGAGCCAGAGCTGCGACTTGCGAGCGAGAGCGAGAGGCGAGAGCGAAGCGGAAGAGTTTTAGGGCACGCGAGATCGATCCGCTCATCCGCTGTAGTTTTATTTTTTGCCCACGGGAACCCGCTTAAATCCGCCTTTGCTCATATGAACCGTAGGATGAGATCCAACGGCTCAGAACAAAATTTGCCCGAACCGTCCGGTTATCCGAAACCGGAGCCGGTTTTCCGGTTCGACGGTCGGACCGGCGGTTCGAACGGTTTAACTCCGGTTCGACGCGAAAAGGGTTTTTAAGAGAACCGTAACCGGCCGGCCGGCCGGTTCGTGGTTCAACCGGTTGAACCAGCCGGTCCGGTCCGGTTTTAAAAGCCTTGGATCCAACACACACAATTAAGAGAGAGAAAGGTTGAGGTGCAAGAATTATAAGAGAAACAACAATTTTTATGAGGAAAATCTTGAAAAGGGGAAAAAATCACAGGACTTTGCCAAGTTAAAATAATTCTAATAGTGTCTGTCGTTGATTACAAATGATGTCTTTCCTTGGGAAAGATGTTGACACAATTTAGCTAATATATATAGTACAAAGTACATTATATGATTAGAGTTGGAAGAATCCAACAACATGAGAGCTGTTCTAAAGAGAACGTTGGCATGTTCATTTGGTAAGTAGGATTGTAGCCGGGTGATGGTAGACCAAGGACTGTAATTAAGCGACCAAGATTGGAGAGACTGTAGTCGGACATCGGAGGTTAGAGAGACACTAATCGAGTGGCGGAGGTTAGGGATAGTACTTGGGCAACAGTGTTCAGAGGGTTCGTAGTCAGGTAGGGATATCAAAATTTGGTCACGGGTCGGGTTCGGATCGAATTCAAAACTGACCCGACATTAGTTGACCCGACCTAAACCCGACCCCGCGGACATGTTCTGGGCGTTGGAATCGAACGGCTAGCTCAGGCGCTGAGCAGCGACACTGCAATTGTGATGTCAAATATTGAACCTAAACCTGACATATTTCTCAAACGGGTTGACCCTAATCAAGATTTTTTCGAGTTGGATTTTCGGATCGTGTCAAATATTGATACTCCTATAGTTGCGACAGAGGTCAAATTTACCATAGTAGACAGGCGATGGAGGTCGTAAGGATGGAGGTTATAACTACTATTATAACAATTAGTTATATTGTGGAATAAGTTCATTTATGTTTTAATTACTGCAATATAATGAATTATATGCTTAACTAATTGAAATGTGTGATTCTGAGAAGACTTGGTGTGGGTGGAAGAAGTTATGTTATGGTGCCAATGAGTATGTTCTGATGTATATGCACATTCTATTATGACAACAGGAGGTATAAGGGCTTTAGGAGGATTTGTTATTTTTTTTGTTCTCATATACGAAGTGCTAGCTTACTTTCCTATAATGCTAATTAAGTTTTTTGAATTATAAGTTTGATTCCGCTCAATATAGTAATTTAATATAAAATGTTGTAAACTTAGTTGTACATTAGATAAATGAATTATTTGAAAATTTAGATAGTTAAATATGGCTTGTTAAGCTGTGTTAGCTCGCTGTTATTTTATCTTCTATTTCCAGGATATGGAAAAGGGAAATAACTAGTTGATACCAGTGTCAATATTTGATCTGAGTTTATATAGGTAATTCTTTTTTAAATTTTGTACAGTCATGACTAATTATTTAATCTGCTTTATTTTGTATTTTTGCCGATAGTCTGTGATTATTATATATATATTTTGATGATAAATGAAAATAGAATTTTATGGATGAATTTATTTTTAGTATACTGTATGTTGTTAGTAGCTCTGTAATAGTTGTTTGTTTTAAAGTTAAAATTGGACAATTTTTGAGAAGTTTACAAAACTTAGATCTTGGAGTTCAACTGTTGCAAACTAACACATTATGATATGTTCCGACGATAATTTTGATTCTATCTATTAAAATGTGTTGATTTTTTGATCCGGTTGAAACTTTTGAACATATTTTTCTAAAAAGATAAATAATTAAAGTATTTTTATAATTTTTTCCATGATGGGCCATGTAATGTTAAAATTTCTGCTCGAATTAGAATATCAAAAGTTTTTTTTTTCTTTGGAGAAATCTATCTCCTCGATATAATTAGAAGGATATATAGATATATTATATGAAATATATAGATTTTAATATTTAATTATGATGCAACTACCAAATACCCTGAATTTCGTATTTTTCGCAAACCAAACCAGCTAGGGTTTTTAAATTTATATCCATACGTGCAATTTCTTGGAGGGAAAGCAAATCGATCATCCGAGTTTGCAAATGAGGAATTTTGCCACCGCTAGAATCCTTTGCATTTATCAGGGTATCGAATGCCATTTATCTCCGGTTGCAACACTGTACGTAATCTCTATTTCCAGTTAACCCATGCCGTTCGTCTTCTATATGCGCTGAGCAAATGGGGAAGTTTTCTGTTGATTTCTTTCTCTTAAAATATATCTCTTTTTCTTGAAATTGTAGGGCAAGAAAGAGCTATAGTACTTCAGGTCCTATTAGGTATATTCCAGGACGCTTTGCGCAAATCAATAAAACCCAGAACTTCCCATCTTTGCAGGATTCAGCGAAGAAGGAAGCGCCTATCACAGGAAACACTTGTTCTGGATTGTCGAATTTAGATTGTAGAGGGCTTCAAAATGGTCGTTTGAATGATGAAATGTGTGAGTTCCTGCAATTAGTTTTTCTAGTATTTTCTATTGCTGATAGAACGTGGTGAATGGTTTATGATATGCCTTAATGCTAAAATATTTTCCATTTGATCTATTATCAGATTTTGGGCAGTAAATTAGAAAAAAAAAATGAGCTTCATATGATTGATGGTAGAGTTGGAAATTTTTTATGAGCTGTATTTACAGAAGGTAGCAGTTTTTTTCAGTGCTACTAAATTAGAAAATTTTGGTGAGTTAGTGATGCGATTAATTTTTGTGTGAAACTATGTGAAGATAGCCTTCATGCATTTGTTGTGTGAGTTCATCCCAATATTTGAGTTGTACTTAATGGAAGCCTGAGTCAAACAAATTTTTTATGCTGAACCTTGAAATTTTTTTTTTTACACACAAAAACATTCTTTTTTGATGTATTTTTTCCTGAATTGCTTTATTTATGCTCATGCATTTTGGTTTGTCATTCAAAGGAGGCTTCGGCCCTGTAGAAAAAGATTTAGCACCATACATATATAGAAAAAGATAGAAATCTATCCCATATATTTAATTAATGATAAGTTAGACAAAAGGTCAGTTATAAACCCTTAAATTTCATGTATGGAGTCGAAAAACGTACTATCCACCTTACATATAATTTAAAAGAGCATGCTGTCTAAATTAGAGCTTGAACCCTTGACCTATACTCTGGGAAGTGGGAATCAAGGAGCATACCGCCAAAGCATAAGCTTGTTGGTCACTAGAACTTTGTTACTGCTATGCTATAATCATATCTTATGTTAACTTTAGCTTTTAAGGTAGTCAATCTTACAATGATTTGAGTCATAGGTTCACTACTAGAAAAAGGCTTTTAGTGATAAAATTTTTGTTGCAATGATTCATGAAGTTGCCAAAAGATAATCCATAGTGAAATGTAAGTTCATCAATGATTCATGAAGTTGCCAAAAGATAATCCATAGTGAAATGTAAGTTCACAATAATAGTATTGTGGGGAGAACATTTTGCGGCGAAATATACATTAAGCACAAATGATTAATTTTTTGCCGTGAAAAAATGTAGAAAAAAGATGCATTTTGGTGGTGTTATCAGAGCATATATTATTGTCAATATATGAATTATATTCTTTTTGTCGTAATCTTCCTCGTTCTATTACTATTTGCTTCAAACCATTCTCCATTTTATCAACTAAAATCTAATAACACTACCACTACCACCAACATGAAAGTTTTAAGCTGATTCATCATTGCAATGCTCTAAGAAGTTAGCATGTCACTCACACCACTTCAATCCCTATGAGCCAATGTTCATTGTTTACTCAATTTTTAATGTAGAGCTTTGATCTTTTTTTTTTTTTGGTCTAGATTAAATTTGGCCGAATAACTTGTTTTAATCCTTCTAGTTTCAACATTATGCTCTATACGATTGAATGCTCTTACATTTTTGTTACACCACTCATGTAGCCTTGTTGTTGTTGTACTCATTTAGATTCCTTCTTATTCCATTCCATCACTGCAATAATCTTCTCAATGTTATCTTTCTTAGTTCCCACTCTTTTTCCTAATCATATCTTGTCAAGACCGCACTATCTCCATATAGTAATTATCCTTGCAATGACTATTGCCGAAGCTAGACAACCTAAAGCCTTCTTCATTCCTAAAATCTTCTCAAACACAAATAGAACTTTTATTGAATATCTTTCCTTTCAACAAGCCTTTGTAGTCCTATTTACCATTGATAATGCCTTATATGAATTTGATTATCTAATTATTCATACTCATGTCACTCAACCTAAGTCCTAGTGTTTTCGAAATGAGCTATTATGAATCCTTTTACCTTAGCTTACCCCTACGAAAAGTGCCGGCCACACAAAGCTTATCTTTACCCAATGTGCCTTATGATACTCTATTTATAAGTTTGTTTTAGATTTTGCTCCTAGACCTTAGAAATTCGAGTAGAGATGACTCATGGAGTTCATTTCTTAACCATTATAATTTAAAGCTTTTTTAAGAGGTACTTGACCCCTTTCTATTATACTGTTTACCTTTTCTGTTGACTCATATATCTTTAACTAACTTTTTCTTCACTAATCTCAGGCAAAACTTTGGACCTTATCCTAATTAAGTTTTCTTCTGTTTTACCTCTTGCTGAGGTTATACATTGTTTTCTCCCTTTAACAACCTTCCTCTTCTGTTGTAGTATCTAAGCATGTGCTATATTCACATTTTAAAGCATCTTTTATTGGCTGCATGGATTCATTACATGCTGAGATTAGATTCACATTGGTAAGTTTATGGTTATTTAAATTTCTCTGTATACAGAACTTTATTGAGGGATTTATATTTGTAAAGCTGTAAATCCGGAAAACCATCTAAAAATTATGCATAAAAATCTACAATAAATTCAGGGACCAAGGAAACATTTATCCACCAAAACGCTGTAGCTTAAGTGGTATGTCTTTTTGTTCCTTTCTTTAGATTAAATTCACTAGTTCCTACTTAGAATTTAGAATGCAATTATCCTTGTGCCACGCCTTTCTTTTAATAGATAAAATATGTAAGAAAAATCTCTATCATTTTTCTGAAGGAATTTTCTATCCATTTGATTCAAATTTTAATAAAATTTTCTTGGTTGAGGATTCTTCATCTTATTGAGGCATTTTTGAAACCCTTGTAATTTCTATTAGTGTTTTTCAGATGGTATGTCTATGTTCACTTCTCTTGTTATTCTTTCCACATACAACATAACAAAAGATTTATAGAGTTGTGATGCCTTATCTTCATCTTTTTGAGAAACTTCATTTTAAATCTCCAGAAAACCACTCGTTATAGTTTGGAAGAGTTGATGTAGTACATGACAAATATTGCCATTTGACCAATTACCAAATCCGGTTGGCTGTTATTCACATTTTTACACCATTTATGGATTTTCTAGATTGTTGAGGATTTTTTAATGCAAGGAAACTGGACATATTTCATCAAGGGGAAATTCATAATTGGATTTTAAGAATCCATCCATTTAAACAATCAGATAAAATGTTCTTTTGGCTCTTCATTAATCATTTGGTTCATTTTTCGAAGTAAATGATTCTAATACATATGATCTTCTCGCAGTAAGCCAGTACGACGAGCCAGTACGAGAGCTTTTTGATACTGGTTATGAGAACATGAATGAACTGCAGACAAGTTCAAAGCATGATGCGGATGGATTCAGAAAAATTAGAGAAGAAATTGAACAGGTGGCAGTGGATCTACTTGCAGCAAGGTTATATTGCCTTGGCTACTTTCATTTCTTGTTTGAACCGCATTGAGCTTTTAGAAATGTTAATATGCAACTTCTGTAAGGTTCTCCACATACCATGAATGTTGCAAATTATAAAATGATTGTAAGCAATGTGAAATGCTTCGAAATTGCTTGCATGACTTTCCCTATAGCTTTTGGGTAATCATTTTGAGCTATACTTAGGTCAATGGTTTCATTTCCTTATAAAGTTTAACATCTCTGCAGAGCAATGACTGCAATTGAGCTGAGAAGGAAACTACATGGAAAGAAGTATCCTTCTGCCATTGTAGAATCCATTGTAGCTGATTTCAAGTCTAGGTATGTCCCTGTATAATGAATTTTACTTTAGTCAACATTTCCTTGGCTTGAGGGCGCTGAGTTGAATTATTAGCTTAATACACTCGTAATGAAGTAGCCAACCGCTATTCTTAGTTTGGGGCACAGTGTTGAATGTCTTCTTAATACACTGTTAATGAAGCAACCAAGCTCTGTTCCTTCATTTTGTAAGGATAGTAGTGTCTTTACTTCGATTAACTTAGGTAAATAGAGTTGATGATAATTTCCTCTTTTGTATTATATGCACTTTTTATACGCTAATATAATAATCAAGATGTCACAGAGTTGTACACTTTTTTGTACTGCTTTTACAAGTTCTTTTCTTTTAGCACCTTCAGCTTGGAGTGAAATTTTTCTCCAGAAGCAGTAGCGCAAATTCGATACTCAAAGACTTGGTTAGAAAATATTAGAAATGATCTTTTTTTATTAGATTTAAATGAAAATTTAACTCTTAACAAGGCGCAATGGACGAGAAAAAAGGATTCATGCAACCGACCCCACGTAGTGGGATAAAAGGCTTAATGTTGTTGTAAGCAGTAGCGCAAATAGCAACTCTCGTGGCATCACTTTAGGCCTTTGGGATTTTGGCATCTCAAAACAACTTATAACAAATTTTTTTCTTTGTATTATATGCTCATTTTTAACCGGACTTGGTTAGAAAATATTAGAAATGATCTTTCTTTATTAGATTTAAATGAGGATTTGATTTTTATCCAGACACGATGGAGAAAAAGGATTCATGAAGCTGACCCCACATAGTGGGACAAAGGCTTGATGTTGTTGTTGTTGTTGTTGTATTATATGCTTATTTTTATGATTTTTTTTTCTACCTAATTTTAAAATTCTTAGATCATGGTGAAATTAGCCATCTTGAATTGTCTTGTTACTTTAGTTACTCATATTTCTGTATGACTGCACTGTGAATTTAACATCTTTATCATGACAGGGGGTTGCTGAATGATAGCATGTATGCGGAAGCGTTCACCCGTTCGCGATGGCTTTCATCGACATGGGGTCCAAGAAGGATAAAACAAGTGAGTGCTATTCTGCTACTTCTGTTAGTACATTCTTTTCCCCATTATTTTGATGCCTGTTTTCTAAGCCATCTTATGCCATTCATCTACCTATTTGAACTGTTGAAATTTAAAGTGGATTTTAATGTTTTGAATGACATTTGGATTTGAAAAATGAAGATGATATATCATAAATCATAAACATTCAGAAATATGAATGAATATGTAAAGATGTACTAATTCTCTCTCTCTCTATCTCTCTGTGTATATAAGAGAGATATTGAGACCTATCATTTTAGAAAAACAGGAGTACTTTTTCTAAGTTATGTTATACCATTCATCCACCTCTTTAAATTTGTTGACATCTACAGTAAATTTTAATATTTTAAATATGGCATTGTGACTAGAAAAATGAATGAGTGTAAATATTTATATCGTTCTACAGAGGATGGTAGTCTAATTCTCTTTCTCTCTCTCCTATATACTTGCACGATTGATTTGCAAATGTTAATAGATCTTTAAATCAAATATGATATACAATTACATAAATCATTATTTCATTATATATCCTACTTTGCAATTATTACAGAGTTTTAACATAAAAGTGTTGACAACTAAAAAATACCAATTATTAGCATGGTTTTTTTTATGATGGATGTGGAGAAATGTCTAATGCTTCCTACCAAATAGTTCAGCCACCATAGATGTTAACCATGCTATACCTACTCTATTGATCAACCTTGACAACTATTTATTGCTGTATTATGCAAGTGATTGATGTTGTATTATAATGTTCCATTTAGCATCATCGTTGTCAGGTCCCAAGTCTTGAACGAGAAAAGTGGAGAGTTGCATTAGGTAGTCAACGGCCAGTATAAAATTGATCGAATAGTCATGGCATGAATCATTTAAAACATTTCTCAGTTTCCTAATTAATAACTAAAAGAACAAGCATTTATTCTACTCATCTTTCAATGCAATGGCACAATGATATCTATGGCAATTGGCAAGGCTTCCTAGGAGCATAAAAGATTTCTATAAACTTGAGTTCTGCAAGCTTCCAAATGGTGGCGGCTTATGATGTAGGAATACTCTGAAACTCTATATTTTATGTTGCATCACTTGCATTTGATTTGAATCAAATAACAGCTGAAAGCATGGGATTGAGGTCAAATGGATGATTCCAGTTCCAAAGTATTTGGATTGATTCAGCAACTGGCAATCTATAACTTCACTGTTTAAATGTTCATTATGATCTATTTTCCTGTACCATTTTCTGAATGGCCAACCATATCTCTTCATCTAATTTTTCTCGGAATCCTAATGGCAATGACAAGAGAAATTATTCTGTGCGGACGCCGAACGCCATCCAGAGATCAACCAGCATGCGCCACATCACACCGTGCTCGGTACCCAGCTCGATGCTGCTGATGTGGCGCATTCTGATTGGTCTCAAGACAGTAAACTGCATTCGTTCGGCGTTCACGCAGAATAATTTCTCCAATGACGCTTACAATCTGTGTGATTTTCAAAACAGGCTTTACTTCAAAAAGGGGTTAGCGAGATGGAAACTGAGAGAGCAAGGAAAGAGGTGTTTGAGCAGGAGGATGATCCTGGAAGTGATGGCCAAGATACGCAGCTTGGTATGTGCAAGCTTTCAATGGACCATCTCTTTCTTCAGGCCTCAAAACAGTGGCTGAGAAGTCGGAACACAGTCGTCGACAATCGAAGGGCTAGGATTGTAAGGTGGCTCCAATATCGTGGCTTTGATTGGGGAGTCACAAACTACATACTTAAGAAGCTGGAATCTCAATATCCCTCATGAGGGCGTAAAATATTACACTGAGATTGTTCATCTCTTGCCTCCTGCATTACGAGACAGGTTTTTCAGTTTTCTTTGGTTATATCTATCTTGTTATTATTTTTTTTTTAAAATAAATTTTTGTAGTGAGAAATTATTTTTTGTAAGCAAGAGAGTGTCCTGGTTGTAAGGAAATTATTTGGCTGTTTGGAAAAAAAAGTGTATTCTATGTTGCTGCTTTCAAAAGCTCTAAATTTTCAATGATAATTTCATAATTAATTTTATAAAAAGTTGCAATCATCTTTGACTTCTATGTTGCGCTAGCTCTGGTTCTGCCGCTCCTACTGCTTGGGCTAGCTTGGCTGCCCCGCACTTGGAGGGCAAGTGTGATCGCCCGTGCATAACGAGCGTTCTCACTCGAGTGACTCGACCTGGTAAAATCTGAGTTGTCATATTGGGTCGAGTCAACCTGGTAACATGATGGGTTGAGTTCGGGTTTGAACTTTCGACTCATTTAAAAAATCGGGTCGGGTTATGGTCAACCCGACCTAAAATACAATTTTGACACCCCTAGTTATAATAGATTGTTTGAGTATTGCTTAGCATTGAATTATGAAAGACAATTTGAGTTTAGATGCATGCTCTAAACTTGATTATGGTGAATGTTGTAGTTATTTATTTTATTTTAAATGTATTCAATGTATTATGATTCTTCAATCACTATCATCTAATTATAGTCTGTCGATTGTCATCGCATGGCTATAGTTCTTCGACCACTCACACTCGACTACGGTCTTCTGACTACTCTTGCTCGACTATGGTCATTAAAACATCTTCATTATGATCCTCTAACCATTATTATTTAACCATGATTCCTTTGACTAATATTGCTCTATTATGATAATTTAACCATTATTGTCTGATTATAATTTGCGGAAAATCATCATGGGACTATAATGCTTTGAACACTTGCATGTTTATGGTTTGCTAATCATTAGAGCTCGACTATGATCCTCTAATTATCTTCACCTAATTACTATCCTCAGATCATCATTGCCCACTTGTAGTCTCCAAACTATCATCCTTCGATTATGATCATCTGACCATTATGGCTTGATTGCACCAACCCTTGCTAACTTCGTCACCTGTTGTTGACAAAAGCATGAACACATGCCATCACTTACAAGATAAATGCATGCCATTAATGCCAACCTTAACTCGAGGACTTCTTGATCCCTAGTTTCGCCTCAAAGGAGAACAACCAAAAAAATATATCAAAATCTCTCTCAAAGGCAACTCTTATGCGATATGACTCTTCTAACTTATACCATTGGAATCAATTCTGCACATTTTACGTCCACTATATTGTATCAACATATTTTTTAATCTTGGGTATGAATATCATTTGTAACTAATGACAAATATTAATAGAATCATTTTAATTACTTCAAAATTTTTATTTTTTGTTTTATTCTCATAAAGTCTTTGGTTTCTCTTAATTTTTTTTTATTTGGGTTCATCGAATTATACTTTAAATTACAAATGAGCCAAAAATTAATAATTCAGCATAGAAAAATTTATGCGGGTAATTTTAATAAATTTATATATTCATGTAATTATATAAAATAAATATTAAATTTATAATATAATATTTTTAAATGTTTATAAATACATCCAAATTTATTAAATTTCTTGATTTTCAAGAACCTCCAATGTAGGCGTGCCAGCAGCACGAGCACGTTTTAATTCTCAGTCCTCGCTTCCTTTACCCTCCCGGCGGCAAAACCCTTCATTCCTGTTGTTTCTTCTTCTCCTCTGCGAAAACCCTAGCTCCAATGGACGACAATTTGTACGACGAGTTCGGCAACTATATCGGCCCCGATATCGACTCTGACCGAGATTCCGACGATGACGAAGACTCAAACGATGCAGTCGGCAAGTCCCCCGGCGGCGAATCTCTCCATTCCGATGAGGAAGGCGCCTCACCCGTCTCTGCTTCCAATGGTTGGATGACCTCCACCGGTGGCGGACTCGATGACATGGACACCGATCCCTCCGCTTCGCAAATCGTTCTTGCGGAGGACAAGAAGTACTACCCGACAGCCGAGGAGGTCTATGGCGACGGTGTCGAAGCTCTCGTCATGGATGAGGATGAGCAGCCCCTTGAGCAGCCGATAATCAAGCCTGTTCGTTCCATCAAGTACGAGGTTAGCTCTAAGGAGTCGTCCACTTATGTCTCCACTGAGTTCCTCCTCGGTCTTGCCTCCAACCCTGCCCTCGTTCGAAATGTTGCGCTCGTTGGTCACCTCCAACACGGGAAGACTGTGTTTATGGACATGCTTGTTGAACAGACCCATGGGATTTCGACCTTCGATACGGAGAGGGAACGGCACATGAGGTACACGGATACCAGGATCGATGAGCAGGAGAGGCAGATATCCATTAAGGCTGTGCCCATGTCCCTTGTGCTAGAAGACAGCAATGCTAAGTCCTACCTCTGCAATATAATGGACACTCCCGGGCATGTTAACTTCTCCGACGAGATGACAGCGGCACTACGGCTTGCGGATGGGGCGGTACTAATTGTGGATGCTGGTGAAGGTGTAATGGTAAGTTCATAATGCTGCGCTTTCTTGGCTTAAGGGTTTGTTTCCATTGTATGGGTTAGGCTTATATCATGCTATTTAGTACTTTGTGTCGTCATGAATGGATTGTCGTTCATTAATATTTCTCCAGATTGATGATCTCGCCATTTTCTCCAACTTTAGTGACATTATGAAGATCTTCCAGTTGGATTTAATCAATTTAGTTGAACTTTCTAGACACGGGATGCATCTACTTTATTTAATAAGAAGTTTTCATGCAGTTTGAGCATGAAAGTTATCGATGATGATGTATGTGGTGACATGTGATGCTCTTTGTTGATGAAAATGCATGTGTTGTTACTTGTTATTCACTAGTGATGCATCACATGTTGATGATAGACTCATGCTCATTGATAATGACATGATGCAGCTTATTGCAATCGTTTTCAATGCAGCTCTATGTATGGGTGCACATTCGGTCAGTTCGGATGAATTAATTGACGAATTTGTTTAAACTAAGTAATAGGAAGAACCAAATTGGGTTTATTCGATTCAATATTGGTTTAACCATATTTTGAAAGCATGTTTTCTTTCTGCAAACAACTAAACTAACTCAAATAATAATTCTATAAAGAAATTGGATAATGACATTTTGGTTATTTGGAATTGAGCATTTATTATTGGAATTTAGATTTTCATTTTGTCAAAAACTTTTTTTCCAAAACCGAACCATAAGCCGCAATCCAAATAACCCTTATTGCCATTCTATGCTTGCTGTAGTTGTTATTGCTAGGTTGGTCACAGGCTCTCAGCTGCCACCCCTAGGCTTGCTGCTATTGACACCTTTAGGAATGACAAGACTATTGCAACTGAAAATATTTTTTTAACTGTTATCACCTTCCTTTTATAGTGCCTGGAGCCAGTGTATATGACCTACTCTATTACTCTTTTTCATAATTAGTGAATTTTTACATCTGGGCCAATGATTTTTTTATTTAAGTTTTTCATCTAAAAAACCTCTGTAAATGTTGAGTACCCAAAATTCTAAAATTAAGAGGAGTGTTGAACTCTTTGATTATCTGATTTGTGAAATTTTCTCATGCACACGTTTGAGAAGTTTTTAGTTCAAAAGGAGAGATTTGGAGCTATTTGTATGGATGCTTCACCTTCTGAAATCATATCTTCCCTCAAATGATTCCTTTTTCAGCCGTGCTGTGATATTATTTTAATTGAATACCTTTATGAATTTTACTTGGAAGCCTACAGTCCATTAATATAATATCTCAGGTATTGTTTAATTTTTTTCCTTGAAACTATTACTATTTTTAACGTGGCGTTTGTTTTCTTATTTGACCCTGTATTATACTCCTATTTTTACCATTACAAAGAAATTGGCAAGGCACCAATTTCTGGGTTTGCTTGAGGTTGTTATATTCTCCAATGTAGCGCAAGTTGAAACTTTATCATATCGATAGCTAGTAATCCTTTTGTTTTATGACCTGCAAACCTTTAATTGATAGAGTAATATTTTTCAGTCATCCACTTACTGATGCTGATTTAATAACCTGCTTATTTCTTTTTGAACAGGTAAATACTGAGCGGGCTATACGTCATGCTATACAAGAGAGGCTTCCCATTGTAGTTGTGATGAATAAAGTATGGTTTTGTTTCCCTTAGTCGAGATCACCATTATGTTTTCTTTTCTTATTTCCACCTGGTGATTTACCTGATTTCGTGATCTTGTAATTTAGGTTGATAGGCTAATTACTGAACTAAGGCTACCTCCAAATGATGCTTATTTTAAGCTGAGGCATACATTGGAAGTAATCAATGACTTGATCACTTCATTCTCCACCACTGCTGGAGGCACCCAGATTATTGACCCTGCAGCTGGAAACGTTTGCTTTGCTGGTGCGAATGCGGGATGGTCTTTCACATTGCAGTCATTTGCTAAATTATACGTGAAGCTTCATGGTATCCCATTTGACTCTTCAAAGTTTGCTTCACGTTTGTGGGGAGATGTTTACTATCATCCTGACAGGACCTTTAAAAAGAAGCCCCCGCCTGGTGGGGGTGAAAGGTCATTTGTTCAATTTATTCTTGAACCATTGTACAAAATTTATAGCCAAGTCATTGGAGAGCATAAAAGGAGTGTTGAGTCAACTCTTGCAGAATTAGGTGTAACTCTGAGTAATGCAGCTTATAAATTAAATGTTCGACCTTTACTTAGATTGGCTTGCAGCTCTGTCTTTGGATCAGCGACTGGTTTCACTGACATGCTTGTTCAACACATTCCTTCTGCCAAAGATGCTGCAGCCAAGAAGGTAGAGCACATATACACAGGGCCTCAGGACTCTTATGTTGCCGAGGCAATGAAAGACTGTGATCCATCAGGAGTTCTGATGGTTAATGTTACCAAACTATATCCGAAGTCGGATTGCAGCGTATTTGATGCTTTTGGGCGAGTTTACAGTGGGACCATTCAGACTGGTCAGACCATTCGCGTCCTCGGTGAAGGGTATTCACCGGATGATGAAGAGGACATGACTGTCAAAGAGGTCTCAAAACTTTGGGTTTATCAGGCTCGGTACCGTATCCCTATTAGCAAAGCTCCTGCTGGTTCATGGGTTCTTATAGAAGGTGTTGATGCATCAATCATGAAGACTGCAACATTGTGCCCTATGGATATGGATGACGAGATTTATATTTTTAGGCCTCTTCGGTTCAATACATTGCCAGTTGTTAAGACTGCAACAGAACCATTGAATCCAAGCGAGCTACCCAAGATGGTGGAGGGTCTGCGGAAAATTAGCAAGAGTTACCCTCTGGCAGTCACCAAGGTTGAGGAGTCAGGAGAACACACTATTCTTGGGACAGGAGAGATATATCTTGATTCAATTATGAAGGACCTCAGAGAGCTTTATTCTGAAGTGGAAGTTAAAGTGAGTTAATAGTATATGGTTTTATAGATAGAAGTTCCATCGTTCCTTAATTTTGCTACTGCTTCCTTATACATATATATTTTGCTACAGGTAGCAGATCCAGTAGTCACTTTCTGTGAAACAGTTGTGGAATCATCTTCGATGAAGTGTTATGCTGAAACACCCAATAAAAAGAACAAAATAACTATGGTAAGATGTCTATTGTACTTTGAATTTTTGCTGTGTCCGACAGGAAATTTTATGTCTTTGCTATGCTGTTCCTATTTACATACAGATATCCGAGCCACTAGAGAGGGGAGTCGCTGAAGATATTGAGAATGGTGTTGTCAGCATTGACTGGAGTCAAAAGAAAATTGGCGATTTCTTTCAAAAAAGGTACGAGTGGGATCTACTTTCTGCGAGGTCAATTTGGGCATTTGGACCAGATAAGCAGGTAAAAATTTTTCATAATAAAATATAATTTGTTTAGAGGACTTTCATCATATGAGTACATAGTGTATGAAATGTGGAAATTCAAGCTAAAGTACAAGTTTAGTTGCCATGCTTGGTCAAAAGTAAGATTCATTTATTTTATGAAGGGCTGAAGGAATTTTAGGGTTGATTTATTATTTATGTATTGCATTAATCTCAAAATAAATTTAAGAATTTAAAAATTCATCTTTATTAAATTTTGGTCAGAATATCCTGGCCTATTTTTCTCCATTTTGTTTTCCTTGTAAATGGTATTATTTTAGAGCAAGTACTAATCCTTTCTATGTTGGTATTGAAACCCAGGGGCCTAACATCTTATTGGATGATACCCTTCCTAGTGAAGTTGACAAAAATCTTCTCAATGCTGTGAAGGACTCCATCGTTCAGGGGTAAGGAAAATGATTGCTTTTGTAACAATTTTTATCTAGCAAGGAAAATAACAAGTTCAAACTTTGCTTTTGCTGGCATTAGATTCCAATGGGGAGCTCGAGAAGGGCCTCTTTGTGATGAACCTATTCGGAATGTGAAGTTCAAGATCTTGGATGCTTCTATTGCTTCTGAGCCTCTTCATAGAGGTGGTGGTCAGATTATTCCGACTGCTCGACGTGTGGCCTATACTGCTTTTCTCATGGCAACCCCAAGGCTTATGGAACCTGTTTACTATGTTGAGGTTGTATCCACTTATACTGATCTGTAAATTAACCCTTTATGTCTCTTGATGATTTACATTTATGTTGCGTTGTTTCAGATCCAAACTCCAATCGATTGTGTATCTGCAATCTACACTGTATTATCTCGAAGGCGAGGCCATGTAACTGCTGATGTGCCAAAGCCTGGGACCCCTGCGTATATTGTGAAAGTTGGTTCTTTGGATTTTTTAAAATTATTTTTCCTAAATTTTGGATTAAATGGATGCATGAACAAAACTTTTGTAAAAGTATTAGTAGGTCCCTACTTTGTTTGCTGCTATACGAGGGTGTGACTCGATGGAGCTGACTCATGAGCTTGATAAAGGGCTCGTGAGCCGAATATATATTACACACACCTATTATAATTCAATAGGTTATTAAAAATATTTCTCACTTCTTTCCCTCAACTAAATGTTTATTTTTTGTCATTATTTCTCACTTTTTGGTTTGCTTTAACTTGAATATTCATCCCTTTTTCATAATAAATGAGGTAATTTGAACTCATAGAATTGAGCTTGTGTTCAAACATGAGCTCGATTAATTGGTTAACCTCATTTACATTGAACTCAAGGTGGAGTTTTAGCTTGAGCGCAACTTGACTAGTTTGGTTTACATTCCTTGTGATATGCGTTTTAATCGATTATCCTAATCTTGCAGGCTTTCCTACCAGTTATCGAGTCATTTGGCTTTGAAACAGATTTGAGGTACCATACTCAGGGTCAGGCGTTCTGCCTCTCAGTTTTTGATCACTGGGCCATAGTGCCTGGTGATCCACTTGATAAAAATATTGTGCTACGCCCTCTTGAACCAGCACCTATTCAGCATCTTGCTCGTGAGTTTATGGTCAAAACAAGGCGTAGGAAGGTATATGTCCTTTTGTGGGGGATGTTTCATAACACTCGTATTTTGACTATTTACAAAATTGAATTTCTTATCTCTATTTTTTTTTTAAATTTCACCCAAATGTTTAAATTTTCCTATTAATTTATTTCACTTTTATTAATTTCCCAACGATTTGATTATGATATGTATAAGTTCATGGGTTTGATTGTTAAAAAAAAAAGATTTCAGCATTATTTTGTAATTAAGGATGGTTTTAATATTATTTGTGTAACTATTCCTTTATTTATTTATTTTGACTTCTTTTTTTTGCTGATTTCTTTTGTAAAGTTGGCTTCACAAAAAGCATAGGCATTCAACCATTGAGATGAGAGCATTTTTTAGTTGGGTTGAAGGCATGAAGCCCTTAATGAATCACCATGATTTCCTTGCAGGGTATGAGCGAGGATGTGAGCATCAGCAAATTCTTTGATGAATCTATGATGAATGAGCTAGCTCAGCAGGATGCAGAGTTACATCTCCAGATGACATAAAAGCTCATCATTGGGCACTATTTGTGTATCTTGCTTGCGTAAGGTACAATTAAGTCCATGAAAGATGCTTCTTCAGTAGATTTTAGGTATGGCTTTCAAAATTTTGAACTCTTGCTCTTTCATTGTCTGCTTTTTCATAGGGGTATTATTTGATGGTTTATGGCACATCGATTGGAGGGTATGAAGTTAAATTTAGGAGTTATTTGATTATGAGTATTTAAAATACATCTGTATTCTAAATGCAATGTAAATTGAATACACTGTATTTTAATTTCCTTAGGTATTTTGATTGGTTGAAATCTATAAAAATCCATTTTTTGAATTTAGTTGTTTGAAAACTGAAATACATTACTTTTTGATTTACATATTGGGCACATCTGGGATGGTGGTGCGTAGTTCGAGATGGTTCGGACCTCAGGGTTGGTCATGTGTTGTGCATGGGTGGGGGCTGCTATTACGTGGTTGTTGATGTAGGGTTAGGGTTGCTTGGAGATATGGGTCAGGGTTGCAGAAGCATGAGCCAACTTAGCGAAGCAATGTATTTGGAACTTATTCTATTCAGGCGAATTCTAATTCATTAAAAAATGGCTTATATGGGCTATTTAAGGGTTCGTTTGGGACGGCTTTTTTATTGCTTTCTAAAATTCCGTTTTAGTACAAATTTTTTTATTTTTGTACTAAAACTCCGTTTTAGAAAGTAATAAAAAAGCCGTCCCAAACGAAGCCTAAATCTCTTAGGAAAATACTTTGCTTTTTGCTTATACTTGAAATGTCAAATTACATGGGTTCTTTTTGCTTTACAACTCATAAAGCCAAATAACCTCAAGTTAAAAGCAAATGTGTTGAAGCAACTGCGTTGTAGGGTATCAACAAATTAAGAACAAACACAAATAACAAGTAATGTAAACAATTAAAAAAATTATGTAAACAAAATAAAGCAATAAGCATGCACAAGATTTTTGTTTGGTTTGCCACTACTTGGCCTACGTCAATGCTAAACCTCCACTAACTTGGGATTCCACCATCTCAATTGCTACTTTTTTTTTCACAAGCAGATAAATTGTCACATAAAACATTGTCTTTTACAGATGACTATATTCTTACTAGGGGTATCAATATTTGACATAACCCGAAAACTCGACTCGAATCCGACCCGAAAATTCCGGGTTAGGGTCAACCTGGACCCGAAAACGGTCAGGTTTGGGCTCAACAAATCCGTTTAAAAAATCGGGCCAGGTTCAGGTTGAACCCGAAACCCGAAATTGATCCGTTTTTTACCCAGAAACCCGAGATTGACCCGTTTTTTACTCGTTTTTGACCCGAAAATTGCATATTGACCTGGTTTTTAACATGAACACTAGCAATTTTTGTCGGCCCTGGGTCATTCGGGTCGTGTCGGGTTGACCTGGACTTGAAGCAGGTCGGGTTAGGGTCCGAAAAATTGACCCGTTTGCAAAAATGGATCGGGTTTAAGTTGACCTGAAAAGTGTCGGGTTAGTTTCGGGTTCGACTCGTGACCCGAAATTGACACACCTAAATCTTACTAGGGGTGTCAATATTTGATATGACTCGAAATCCGACCCAAAAATTACGGGTTAAGGTTAACCTGGACCCAAAACTGGTCAAATTCTGGGTTGGGGTCAACCTGGACCCGAAACGGGTCGGGTTCGAGTTCAACAAATCGACATGTTTCAAAAACCGGGTCAGGTTGACCTTTACTTTGACCCGATTTTTACCCAAAAATTGGAGATTGACCAATTTTTTACACAAAAAGTCAAAAACTAGTAATTTTTGGTCGGTACCGGGTCATTCGGGTCGTGTCGGGTTGATCCGGACTTGAAATGAGTTAGGTTCGTGTTCAAAAAGCTGACCTGTTTGCAAAAAAATGAGTCGGGTTCGGGTTGACACGAATAGTGCCGGTTCAATTTCTGATTTGACCCGAACCCAACTCGTGACCCGAAATTGACACCCTTAATTCTCAGTTCTCACTGCTCTGAATGACTGCACGACATCTTGGACTGATTTACTTTAGATAAGATAAGTCCGTATTTGAAAAATAATTATAATGATCACGTAGCACGAACTTACCGTAGATTATACTTTGGAACTATGTCGTGTGGATTGAAGAGTTTGGTTAATGGGCTTGGGGAACTCACAATCTGGAATGAAAACATTGGCTTAAAAAGATTGAAGAAGAATTTAGAACAAGGAACAAAAAATCTATCCTTCAAAGCATTTGAGAAAAGTTTTTCTGTACATGGATTTTAAGTTTCAATGACTAGTTTTTTAGTAGTAGATTTACAGAAAATCCAACACCTTTGCTCCTAGACATGTTTATGCAGGGCCTTGATGTCCTATTGTCTCGCATGAGTTTGAATGGCGGTGATAGTGGCTTTTTACTGTTTCTTAAAACAATTCTTTAGTATAAAAATGAGCTGTTTTAAGCAGCAGAAAGAAATCCGTCCGAAACGAAGCCTCCTAATATACAGATCTGATATAGCATTTTGTTAAGACTGACTTTTATTATGATTATCCTTTCATAGTTAAACTAATTTGCACTGCAAATTAAAAACTTTTGACCGTCACTTTTGCTTTTATAAATTTGAGATGCAACATTCATATATTATGATTGAAGGATTTGTCATAGAAGCCTGTTTTTATGGGTAGGTTGCTTTCTTCAGGTGATGAGGGATTCTCTTTTTAATTGATATCGTACATCAACGATTACATAACACAGGTATGTCATTAGGTATGCCTCTGAGTTCTTGCATTATTTGATAATAAATATGTAATCAAATACTGTTTTATTAAGATAATTTCTATCATGAAAACTTTTTTTATCTTAGTTTCTTATTTCCTTTTGGTCTTTAGTCTTCTCACCACCATCTTTAGCAAGACATACAGATTCCTTATAATCATCTAAATTCCTTAGTCATATTGTTCATCTCTTAGTGCTCTTAAGAACCCTATTCTTTATCTTTATAACCTTTTCTAAGTAACCCAACTATTCATTCTACACCACATATTTCTAGCCATTTTGTGATTTTTTTTCCCTAAAATTATATTATAATATTTTCTAAAAGATGTTCTTTTTCAGTTAAGAAGAGAGTTTAGGCATGTTTGATGTAACAATTTTGACAGTAAATAAGTATTTATTTAGTGCAAAATATAGCATTTATTCTCATTAAAAATCAGCTGAAAATAAGCTATGAAAAAAATTTATTACTTTTAAAAATCCCCAAATTTATAGTTACAAGTTTTAATATTAGATCTAATCTAATATTTACTCTTCAATCAGATGTTAATTTATAATTGATAACTTAATTTAATTAAATTTAGTTATAATTAGCATTTCCAATGCTTACTATATTTAAATTTAATGTGGAATCTGTTGTCAATGCTTATTTAGAATAAGTATTTTTATGGTCATTTATATAAATCGTGAAGAAGCTTAAATAAAAAATTTTAAACGAGTAAGTTAAAAGTATTTCTGACTATTATCATTTATTTAATAAATAGAGCTCAAATGATTAAAAAGTAGCTTAATGATTCCTGAAATGATTATGTATTAATTTTATCATTATGTTAATCATATATTTTACAGCTTTAATCCATTTATTATCTTATTGAGATCTAAATCTGATACAAAAAAAACGAGATGAGTAAATTTTTATTAGTAAAATCATTGAACCAAAAGCAAAATAAGAAGTTTCAAATATCAATATCTAACTATTAATATTTAAAATCACCTTAAATGAGCTACTAGTTTTGCAAGAACTTATAAATAAATTTTGCGTTAAAAATTTATTTTTTAAGATTGAATGGATATATTTTTTAGGTTAAAATTTTTATTCACAAAAGATTAAGTTAAAACTTGCCATGATTTTATTTCAGAAATCATGTACATTGCTTTAACTTACAAATTAAATATTTTACTTTTTTATAAGTTACATTAATTTATTGAAGCATCTAAGGCTTTCTTTGTGATGATTTTATTCCTAGTAAAAAAAATTAATTTTTTTTTAAGAAAAGATTACTTCATTAAAAACAGAAGAAATGTAAGAAAAAGTCAATCTTGGTTTGCTCGATAAAAACAGAAGAAATATTTGTACAAAAATAATTGTAAAAATCAGTAAGAAATTGAACTTTTAAAAATTATAATTCGCATAGATTTTTTTTTTTTAATTTTAAATTTCACTACTAGATCAGGTTGTGAATATCTTTTTACAGCAGTTATATTTTTTTGAAAAGAAAAATTAAAGCCAAAACGACATCCAAAAGAATTACTTATTTACATGAATACAATTGACTTTGTAATTCCCCATCATAATTTTGGGGAAATTATAATAGAGAATAATCATGATTTGCCCCCACTTTATGGTGGAAGTTTTCTTTTAAAAACAATATAATAGGAGAAATTAATAATATGAATGACCGGCGGAAAAGAAAGCCAAATATGATGCTTAATATCACGTTTACAGCATCTTCCCTCCCTCGTGCGCCAAGCTTCGCAACTCAATGGAATGATGTTTATAGGACGGCAACGAGAGAACACCTGAGTATAGTCAGAATCAGATTCTCCATTAAAAAATGTAAGTTTATTCTTCTCATTATTTAATAATATGGCATAACAGAATACTTAAACAAAAGCATAAATTTTGTAGCTAAAAAGCCCTAAAAACCAAGTTCAATGTTCAATGGACCTCCAACAAGCCAAATCTTATGAAGTCTCAAGTGCAAATAACATAAAATCAATATGCCTTTAAAATGAGTGTAATATATACACAAGTAATAATACACTAATCTTAAAGTGAATCTAAAGGTTTTAAATCCCATCTTGATTATTTTTTTTTTTTTTATCAAAACATCCAAACAGATTTTTTTTTCAACTGAGATTTTCTGCTCTTTTATTATCAAAGGTTAAGCTTTTTTCATAAGCACCAATGTATGAAATAAAAATGACTAATCTTAATATTGATGACTAAATAAAAGTACAAAACAAAGTCATAATTAGCATTGAACATTATAGATAACACTTCATTTTTAGCGAGCTTGCACTAAACATAAACATAATACATAAAATTTATAAATAGAAATATCTTTCATTTTTAGTAAGATTGCACTAAACATAATACATTAAATTTATAAATAGAACGATCTAAATAATGGTGAGCAAAGCATGCCTAATTCAATGCAGTAGAAAAAACTTACCAGCTTGAGTCAATATGATTCCTTGCTTCATGAGAACATGAACCCAGACCCAGAAGACACCCCACGGTGAAGTGAAACTGTGGAATAATTGAAGAGTAGGTTAGTAAATAATAAAATAAATCAGAGAAAAAAACATATAATAAATGAATATATAAAAATATTTTTTTAATGATTATACATATAAATATATATACACAACATTAAAAAAATAAAGTAATAATAGTTATAGTATATAAAAAAAAATAATGTTAGGGTAATTATTGCATCATTTGAATGAAGGCATAATTGGCTTGCTCTAATCAACAAAAACTCTCTTTAATAATGGCAGATCAGGTCAATATTTTTAAAAAGTTACTAAAAATATTATAGCTAAATAAAAAACCGGCAAAGACTTCTATTTTTATCCTTACATTATTAAAAATTGAAGTTGATGAGGCTTCAAAAATAATGAAGTATAGAAAAGCAGTAGGACTTGATGATATTTCAATAGAAGTGTGAAAATACTTAGGAGATCAAAAAAAATTTCTGGCTTATTAAACTTTTTAATATTATTTAGAGGACAAAAAAAGAATAATTAGGTTAAAGCTAAATATTGATGATGGTGATATACCTTCACAGCATCTTCTCCAATTTATCAAGCTTCTTAACTCTATGCAATGATTTTGTCAACAGCAAGGAAAAAACACCTGAATATTGGGCACCAGGTCAGTTCTTCATTAAAAATGTGAGCTTATGCTTCACATTATTTAAGAATATGGTACACCAGAAAAGTTAAAAATATTTAAAGTATACATTTTGTAGCTAAAAAACTCAGAGACATATAGTCCAGCAGACCTCCAAAAAGGGAAATCTGATATAAGTGTTGTGTAAGCAAAGCTAAATTAACATAGTATAATAGTTGTAGTAGTAGTGTATAGTATAGTAGTTTGATGCGATTTTTCATGTTGAAGTAATATAGATATTGAACAAATTCAATGTTAACTACATCTCAATATTGATGACTAAATAAAACCACAAAAACAAAAGCCATAATTATCCTTGAACATTACATTATTAGTAACCTCATACTAAACAAAATACATCAAATTTCTTAATAGCACAATCTAAATATGGGTATAAACTAATTCCCCAAACCCATACACCTTTAACTCAGCATGATAAAAATTGAATCAATTTACCTAAAATTCACTTAATTTCTGCAACCCCCTCACAGGGATGATGCAATTAAAATTTACTTGAAAATTTTGAAATAAGAGCATACTATACTATACTATACAATTATATTATACTAATACTATACTAATATACTATACAATACTATATCATATACTATACAATACTATACTATAGTATAGTATCCTAGTAGTATAGTATACTATATTCATATAGTATAGTATAATAGTAGTAGTATAGTATAGTACAATAATTTAGTAGTAATAGTATAATAGTAGTAGTATTAGTATAATATAGAATAGTATAGTAGTATAATGGTAGTAATATAATATAATATTGCTAGTATAATAGTAGTAGTAGTAATAATGTAGTATAGTATTATATAGTATAGCAGTTATTGTAGTATAATAGTAATATAATATAGTATTGTAGGAGTATAATGTAGTATCATATAATATAGTATAATATAGTATAGTACAATATAATTTAGTATAGTAGTAGTAGTATAACATAGTATAGAAGTAGTACTATAATATAATAGTGTAGTATAGTAGTAGTAGTGTAGCATAGTATTGTATACTATAGTAGTATATTAGTGTTGTAGTATAGTAGTAGTATAGTATAATATTGCATAATATAGTAGTAGTAGTGGTGGTATAATATTGTATAGTAGTATAATGTCATAGTATAGTATAATATAGTATCGTCGTAGTATAGTGTAATAAAGTATAGTACATATATATATAATTCAAAAACATAAGTCAAATAAGAAAGTTTAATTTTCTATTATGAATATATGTTTTCTTATTAATATATAATGGTTTTATGCGGTCTTTCCTGTTGAAGTTATCGAGATATTGAACAAATTCAATGTTAACTACATTATTTCAATATTGACGACTAAATAAAACCACAAAAAACAAAAGCCATAATTATCATTGAACTTTATAGATAATATTTCATTATTAGTAAGTCCATACTAAAAAAATACATCAAATTTCTTAATAGCACTATATAAATATGAGTAAACCAAACATCTCTAATTCCCTAAACCTATATCACCTCTAACTCGGCATGACAAAAACTGAATTAATTTACTTGAAAATTTACTTTATTTCTGCAACCACCTCACAGAGATGATGCAATTAAAATTTACTTAAAAATTTTGAAATAAGAAATAAGAAATAAGAACATACTATATTATTGTACAATATTATACTATATTATACTACTATACAATACTATACTACTAAATTATACTAATACTATACTACCATACTATCCTATATAATATACTATACAATACAATACTATACTACTACTATTGCTATTATAATCTAGTACAGTATAGTATCATAGTAGTATAGTACAAAATATTATAGTAGTATAATATAGTATAATAGTTATAATAGTAGTAGTAGTATAATATAGTAACATAGTAGTAGTATAGTATATTATAATATAGCAGTATATTATACTATATTCATATAATATAGCATAGTATTATAGTAGTAGTAGCAGCAATATTAATATAGTATAATATAATAGTTGTAATAGTAGTGTATAATATATTAGTATAATAGTATAGTAGTAGTAGTATAATATAGTGATATAGTACATTATAGTAGTAGTAATAGTATAGTACAATACTATACTAATATACTATACTATACAATACTACTACTACTACTACTACTATACTATACTACTATAATACTACTATATACTATATACTATAATGCTATACTATATACTACTGTACTATACTATACACTACTACTATACTATACTACTACTATATACTATATACTATACTATATACTACAATACTATACTACTATATACTACAATACTATGCTACTATACTACTACTATTACTACTACTATATACTATATACTACTACTATACTACTATATACTACTACTACTACTATTACTATACTACTATACTATACTACTATTACTACTACTACTACTACTATACTATACTACTACTATATGCTATATACTACTACTATACTATTA